CGCGGGCCGGGTGTTCGGGGAGGGCGGGGATTAGCCCGAGGAGGGGGGAAAGTTGCTCCGCGTTGGGGCTGAGCTGTGGTGGATCCGAGTCCCAGGGGAGGGCAGGAGGCGGGAGGCAGGGTGCCCGCAGGGGGCAGGGGGCCCCAGGAGGCCGTGGAGGCCGGGCAGCTGTAGGTGTAGTGGCCCGAGCGTGTGCGTTAGGCGTGTTTGTTATGTGTGTGAAATGCTCTTACACCGACGGTGAGGCAGCTCTGGAGGAAGGAGCGGACTCGCCGCGGCCCTGGGGTCGCTGAAGGAAATGGGAGCTGGTGGGTGGCCGCGAGCTGTCCGAGCTGTTGCTCGTGCTTATGGTGAAGTCAGAGAGGGAAGGGAGTGTTTTGGGTCCTGAGACTCGTCGACGTGATTCCCTCTGGGATGTGTGAGAGGCCCTATAGCACTTAAAACCGTGCACGGTCTTTGATCTTTCCTAGTTTCTTGCTTCCTCTTAAACTGCTTGTTCTTGGCGGAGAACTGGAGGGTTTGGTTTGTTAATTACGGCGTCTAATTAGGCAACAGCCTAGGTTGGAAGGGATCCCATAAAGGCAGATACCTTGGGGACAGCGTAGCAAAGAATTCAGTGGGTTTAATGTAGTGATTCTCAAGTAGGTATTAACATCAAATTAAATTAAAATATGTCTCAGGCTCTTTTCTACAGATTGAGTCGGTCGAGTGGGTGGGTGCTAAGAATCTGAACATAAAAACGCCTCTGGGGATTCTGATTCAAGTGAGTGGTCTGCGAACACACTTTAAGAGACACACTTAGAGGCTGATAGCAGATTTGAACATGAGGCTCAGAATGAAACAAATTGTTCAACTTAACCACGCTTTGCGTATTGGGTCCTGTATTTCCAAAGGTGCATGTTTAGTACCCTAAATTTGCCTGAGACTCCAGAAATGGTGATCAAAATAAGAGAGTAGGATTCTGATATGGTCCTAAATGGTGCTGTACTATTTAGTTAGCCTAGATGTAAATAAAAAAGCTTTTATTTTACCTCACGGGGTAAATGGGAGGAGGAGGATGACCGTTGCTGGGGAAGGAGAGAATCTCCCCCTCCTTTAGCTCTACTGCTGGACTCATAATAAAATAATAAAATTGATACAAGATTAACAGGAGAAAAAACAATTTAATAGGTGCACATAGGAGAATGATAAGATGATCAGATCATAAAATGAGGCTCAAAGAAATGATCCAATCAGGCGCCTTTTTTTTTTTTTTTTAATCCTTACCTGAGGATATATATTATTGATTTTAAGAGAGAGAGGAAGGGAGAGAGAGAGAGACGTTGATTGGTTGCCTCCCATACGCTCCCGATTGGGGATTGAACCCACAACCTAGGTATGTGCTCTGACCGGGAATCGAACCCTTAACCTTTTCCTACTTAGCCACCCGGCCAGGACCAACCAGGCATCTTTTTATAGCTTTTAGACAAAGAAACAAATGTGTAACAAACTGACAGAACAAAGAAAGTGGGTGCTTATTAGAAAGGAATCTAAGCCAAGTTTGGAATTGAGTGGTTCGTTAGTAAAGGCATTACAAGGCTTGTTTATACAGGCCTTTGCCTGGATTTTTAAAGCTCTTATGATAAGATTGTCTCAGCTCTCTGGAGTAGGAGGGCACCTGTCACATGGGGACAGATTGGTCAGGGTTTTCTTCTTACACAGGCCATTTCTTAAGTAACTTGAATTCAGAATCCTTAATATGCTATTGTGGGATATCCTGGGGTGGCCTGCCCTGGGCCCCAACACTAGCTGTTCTGAAACTGCAGGGTTGACATCTATGCCCAGAAATTCGCTGTTCTGAAAATGGAGCCATAGAGGGGACTGATTTCTGTGAGGCTATCAGAAAACAAGTGGTGGGAAGGGCTAATGATTTTAGAGATGATCCCCAGAATGTGTACTTTGACCCTCTCTGTCCCTTAGCAGTGCTTTCCAGTGGCTTTCCCTGCTCACAGGGTTTTTCTTAGAGCTAATCTAACAAAACAAAACAAAAACCCTCTATTGCTTTTATTTTATAACAACTTTATTTTTTAATTACTACTGACAAAAAATCAAGAGCGTAGATTCACCTCAGCGGCATGGAGGTTTTCAAGGTATCTTGGTTGGCTCTTGCTTTTATTCTCGAAGTCAACTACAAACTCACCTTTTGCATTTTGCCTCATTCGCTTCTGTGGTTGGCTGCGTGATGAGCTAATCTTAGCGTTTTTAACTCTCTTCACCCTCTGTCCACCCGAAATAAAAATGAGCGAGGGTACAGATGACAGCACTGGGAGCAGTTTGGTGGTGTTACATAAGATGCTTCCGTTCCTTCCAGTGTGAAGAGTTTGATCTTTGGGGGAGTCAGTGAGCTAGCGCCTGCATGTGTATTTTGGGGATGCCATTTTCCCAGCCATTTAAGTAATTGTGTTAGAGAGTAGAGACCACTCCCTAAGAGACAGCTACTCGCATCCTCTCCTTTTACAGGCTGTCTGTGCAAGGTCATGTTCATTCAGAGACTGTCTCCACTTTCTTTTGTGAATGTTGGTTCCCAATTAGTAGGAATTTGGAATGTTAAGAGAAGGGACATTCAATTTTTTTAAAATATGTTTTTATTGAGAGGGAGGAAGGGAGAGGGAGAGAAAGAAACATTGATGTGAGAGAGAAACATCGATGGGCTGTCTCCAAGCACGCACCTCGACAGAGGATCGGGCCTACAACCTGGGCACGTGCTCTGACCGGGAATCGAACTGGTGACCTTTCAGTGCGCAGGATGACGCTCAACCAACTGAGCCACACCAGCCAGGGCGGGACACTCACCTTTTAACCTGCTGAACCTCTAGAAGGTTTTAAGCATCATATCAGGATGGGGTGTGCTTCTGGGTTGGGTGTAGTATGGTATTTGAGCAACTGAAGATCATGGATTTACTCTGTTTTTATTATTTCACTTTTAACCACAAATTAGATGGGAAGGACCCCCAAATTATGCTCCCTTCTTACTTTTGACAGTTTTGTATTCACTGGGGGTAGTGAGAGAGTATCAGGTGGGGCAACATGGGTTTACAGTTGTTTGTATGGAAAATAATACAATAATTAATACATAATAATACAAGAATAAACTGTTTCATGTACTCACAACTGTAAGCCTACTTTTGTCCCATCCTGTATATAATGCATGAGATGTCTTAGAAATTTAAAAATAGAAATAGAGCTCTAAAATGAGAGTACCTTGGCCTGTAACAAAGAATACGGAATTATAAGTGCAATTTCCTTAATTACGTTCCCCTGCTGCCTTCTTTTCACCTAACTATAGGGCAGAAGAGCCCCTCTATCTGCCAATTTTCCGCTGCCAGAGGGTTCACAAGTAATGAGATAAAGGCTTTGAGCACTTCTGAAAAAAGCAGATGGACTATTACAGGGTAGCAAAGGGAAAGTTTTTTTTCTTGTTTTTAGATCCATTGGAGTTCCTAGGTGTTGCAAGGTATCATAAATCTCTCAGTTCTCAATTTTAAGAAATCAGAATGACTCACGTGTCTAGTTGGGATGCTCTAGTCACCCTGCACTCCCTCAGTCCTGGTTCCCACTCCTTACTGACTCAGTGACCACCTTGGGCAAATCACAGCCGTGCTGCGCTAGTTTCCTCGTCAGGAAATGGGGATTATAGTAATAGGACAGTGGTACCTTGCTTTTCCAATGTAATCCGTTCTGGAAGACCGTTCAAGTTCTGAAACGTTCGAAAACCGAGGTGCGGTTTCCCATAGAAAGTAATGTGAAATGGGTTAATCTGTCCCAGACCTTTAAAATCAACCCCTAAAACAGCAATTTAACATGAATTTTACTATCTAATGATATCGCAGGTCCATAAAATGATACACCATGAAAGCAATAAACACAATATACTGTACTGTAAAAGCAATAATAAATAAGCACAATGTAAAAACAATACTGTAGACGATAAAAATGAAAGCATAATTTTTTCCTACCTCCAATGATGATAGTCATGGTTTGGATGGGGGGGGTCCTCATCCAGAATCACAG